TATTTTGGGATTGAAATCAGAATCAGAATCACTAATTTCGATTCCGATGCAGAATTGCCCATCTCTACACGTTATTTCCGAACAATTTCTACGTCAAAAATGGCTTAGCATTTTTGGAAATAAATATGATATTTACATCAGTGATATTTATAAACCGGATAACGGCTGTTTTGGTATATCACTTAAAGGCATCGCTAATATTGCAGATGATCGAGAAATTGGTGGATTTGATTGTATAAATATTCTTTTACCTGATGGAATTATCGGAAAAGAAGGAATATTAAAACCTGGTGATATAATTTTGCAAGTAAAAAACATTTATTCATTTTTTTTAAAACTATTTTTTCTTTTTTTAAGGTTAATGATGAAATCTTATTTGGAAAAAACCACGATTATATTGTTGCACGTCTTCAAGCTATTAAACATCAAATAAAACTTGTTTGTGCTCGTCCTAAAATTGAACAATTAACTTCAGTTGTTCATCATACTCAAGCTATGGAAAAATTACATTTGACAAGTAAAATTTGATCCAGAACAACGAAAATACGTTCATTAGAAATTATTTCAAATTTAGATTTATGGTCAAATTCTTTATTAAATATTGAATTAAATAAAAATGATGATGATATTGGGTTTTCTGTAAGTGATTATCAAGATCCATCTAATCCAAATTATTCACCTGTTATTGTTATACGTGAATTAGTTCCTGGTGGTATTGCACAATTAGATGGAAGAATTTTTCCTGGTGATCGCTTAGTAGCTGTTAATGATATAACATTTGAAAATATGAATTCAGATGATGTTATGAAAATATTAAAATCAACACCAAAAGGTCCAGTTAAACTTAGTTTATCAAAACCATTATCATATTCGAAATTTACAAATGATAATGATCAAAATATGAATAATAATCAGGTAAGAATTCTGTAAATAGATATTTAAATTGTTTTACGTAAAATTGTATATTATTAAAGTCGATATTTTATTATTCGAATTGAATAAATATCAATCGAGATAGACTAAATTCATATTATATTTCCGATCTTAATATATGAGATTTTTACAATTTATCAAATGAATACATACGTATTTTTCTTGTAGATTTTAATTTGAATTGAACGCTTTACCCTTGTGCCCTTATTAGAAGTAATACTCTCATCTTCATCCCGTACATGAGCACATATAGTCAGTCGACTATGTGCATCTGAATGTACATAGTCACTTCCATTTGAATTGAGCATTAGTTGATACATAAGAGAATAGTCAATACAAACAATGACTATTGTTTTTCATCATCATTCGTCAAGACAAAAAAAAAGAAGAGCACGACCATCGACTATAAACGTTATATATATATACTCGACCTTTTTTTATCGTTCATATTCTTAATATAAAGTAGTTCTTAAGATTGTTTATAAGAGTTGAATAATGGCTGAAAAAGAAGTAAATCATATATATATATATATAAACCTATGTTTATTTTAATCTTTTATCAATTTTTATATTTATAGAATGAAGGTTCTCAACTAATGTTACAAATGGAGCAGTTACGTGGGCAATGGCTTCAAGGTCTTATTTCATTGAATGTTTGTCTCAATAAAATGAAACAACTTCTTAATGAAACAAATATCAATGAATGACATTAGATAATCATCCTTTTCTTCATCAATTCGATTTTTTTTGTTATTTTCATCAGTTAGACATATCATATACATTTTTGTCTTTCATGATGATCAAAAATTTTTTCCTGTTTTTCATGATAGTCAGATTTACTTATTTTTATCATATTGAATTTCTTTTCTATACTTAGGCCATGCAATAGCATGAGTGATTAAAAAGATATTTTTCTGTTTTCTGTTTTCTGTTTTTTTTTGTTATTTCAAGTGCTATTAAACGATGATTTGATATAAACAGAAAAAAAGTATATAAAAGGTAAAAAACTCATAAATATCTTTTTAGGGAAATAATGGCAAATGAATGAGAATTGGATAAGTTTTATTTGTTAATGAACTTAATAGAAGCATTGAATATTGAAGACTATAATATTTGTTAATAGTTATGTATGTGCTGTCAATTGGATGAAGATTTAATAGAATAACTTGATCATAATCTTTAAACAAATTATATTCATGAATAATGATA